TGTTGTTATTTGATTCAAAGCTTATCATTGATAAAAAAATCCTTTAGATAAGTGTAAGGGTTGAAATCTCATCTTAGTTACATGCTTGTAAAACTCATATTTAGAGACTTAGTGTCACTGGATACAATTAATTCTATCTCTTTCTCTCTCTCTCTCTACATATATATAACATTAGTTTGTGTTTTGTGATAAGAGATAAAATTTAAAACCGAATTTTTATATCAATCCGTTGATTATTTTTTTTAAATTTGAGATGCGAGACGCAAAAAAAAAAAAAAAAATTTTTGCAAAACATTTAAACAAACGCAAAACGACGACGACAACGACAACGACGACATAATCGTTTTTTTCCAACGTGTGTAAAATGGTCCATTCATCATCACGAACATCATCTCATTACTCATAAAAATTTAAATGTTTTCATGCTTAAACAAAAAAAATTGTTTTTTTTTTTTTGTTGTCGTCTTCGCAATAACGTTTCCGTGTTTATTTAAAATTCAGTCATCGTAAGATTTGTTAATAATATTTTTGGCCGGGTATTAAAAAAAAAAAATTTCTTATCGTAACTTATCATTGTCAGTCACATTTTAAATATTACTTCTGTGTGGACATTTCGCCTTGACCTCGTTATTGTCGTTCTTTCTTTTTATTTATTTATATCAATTAGTATAGGTTTTTTTAAATAATAATAATACTTCTTATTGAGAATTAATTACTACTTACCAACCATGAGAAACGGTGCTGCCAAATTAATACCGATAAAATCGAATCCTAAATAAATGGCAAAACCGAATGCGGCAACTGTTGCCATTGCAGCAGATATGTTACCCATTAATCCTAATGCAGGTTTTGATCGAACCCAATCGAACATCATACACGTGATCATTGAAATCTATAATAAATAAATAAATAAATAAATTTTATTAATAGTTTATAAAATTATTTTTCGTGACTGTCCCAAAAAAAGAAAAAATTATTAAGTAATAATGGGAAATTTCTATGTAAATCACAATGACAAAAACCCACGTAGAAAAATTAATAATAATAATAATTTTTAAAGATTAATAATAATGACTTTTTTTTTTCTTTATTGTAAAGATTAGATTAATATTGTTATTATTATTATTATTATTATTATCATAGGCTATAAACGATTATTATTAGTTTTTTTTGTTAAGGTGAGGTACCAGATGTTATCATCAACGATGGTGGCCTTTTTTTTTTAATTTAGGCGTTTGATTAAAATTAATTTCTGTAGGATTTTTATTGTAAAATTAACTTACCCGACCATGAGGGCAAAGGTCGAACCGAAATAAGGTACAACCGTTCGCGTATTTCTTTCCAATTCTATATCCAAAGTTCTCGATGCAAATCTTGCCGTAGAAATGTATTTGAACGTGTGTTCTTCTTCTGCTTTTCCGATCGCGTCTAAAAATGCTTCTTCCCATGCTGCTCCCCTATTCAAAAAAAAAATAATAATAATAATAAATAAATAATTTAATAAAAACCGTCGCGTTTGATTTTATTTCTTTTAACCGGAAATGGAAAAGTTATTTTAAAAAAATTTTTTTTTTGTAATTTTAATAACCGCCAAAAAAATAGAAAATTTTTTTATTTTTACTCTGCATTTTAAACGTGCGTAATATGAAAAAATAGTATTAATAATAATAATAATGAACGTAGTTTAAGAAAAAAAAAAGTTTTAAAAACATATTTATAATGCCAAGTACACATTAATTAATTTTTAAAAAAAAAAAAAAAAGGAAAAAATTGGTCATGGTTTTTTTATTTCGTTGTAAATAGAGCAACAAGGTTGATTTTATTTTTCTTGTACGTTATTTTCATGCAATTCAAAATAATTTATGTTTATTTAAATAATAAAAAATAAGAAAACTTTGCATTAAATTTTCCGACACGTACGACAACGACAACGACAATTTTTTTTTTTTTAAATATAATAACGTTTGATAAAATATTTCGAGACATAGTTTACGAATTAAAGAGTTTGATTCTTGCCAAAACTATAAAAAGTTCGAAATTGAAAATCGCGTTGGGAAATTCCGGTTTAAAAACAACAACAAAAACAACGACAAACGAATTTTACACGTTTTCATTGCAAATTTTTTTGGGGGAAACTTTCACTACGTTTCTAAATTTAAAATCTGTCACAAAAAAAATAAATTTACGAAAATATTATTGTTTTGAATAAACCCCCCCCCACGCGCTCCGCCCCAATGTTTGAATGAAATACGAAAGCTTTTAAAATATTTTTAAACAATCGGTGTTTGTTATACAAACGAAAATACCCAAGAAAAAAATTTTGTAAATATAAATCTCATTACTATCGTTTGTACGTTGTTTGTCGAAAGGAAAATTGCGAGAAAATTAATTTTTTTAATAATAATTTGATAACGTGAAATGTTTTTGTAGATGATATTTTAATGCGTCAAATTTATAATAATAAGAAATTGTTTGAAAACTTTTCTCTTTTTTAAGTCC